ACCATAATTGTACATGGAGTGAATACAATGCCTCATCAACAACATTAACATTAAATCTCTAAGCTTTGTATTCATTACATTCCGAAGATTTAGAAAAGTCTTCCACATACGAATATACAATTAACATTTCTAGAATATGAAAATTATAACATATGGCATCAATAGTTGAATATAATTAAAAGCCCTCATAGACTACAAGTTCCAAGGCTTATGTCCGGTTATACGAAATGGTTATCTGAACCCATACAAATAAAGCCCTTGACTTGTCAAAATAACAACAAAATATAAGAAGCCGCGTGCCCTCAAAACACGTTCCACGCCCTTAACTTGGCGGAACCACCACATCTTTTCTTGTACAAAGTCCGCTAGGGGTGAGCACAAGCCCAGTAGAAACATCTTAACAAAGTATATATATTTTATACATTCTCATGAGATGAATGCATATGTCATGTCATGCTCAAAATGTATTGTTCTCATCTTTTGGAAATCTTGTGCACAATGCCAATTTGAAAACACAATGATTCAACAATTTCAATATAATTTTCACGAGGTGATAAATACGACTCAGGCAATTCCCCAGGGCTAGCGTCTGCAAGTAGGCTTATCAGGCACTACCAAATCCTACCTTACCGGCGACAACTGGAGGGCTTACGCACCCACATGCGCAAGTTTTTGGTCTTACACCAAGGACACTCATGGCCAACTTAGTTCTCAAACTACACGCTCTAACAGGACTTCACAGCGTATTTACCTCAAAATAATTTAATATGATCTTGTTTTCACAAAACAACTCCTTTACAATTGTAATAGTTTTCAAATTTGCAATCATAATAACCAAATGAAATGGAATACTAATGACTCATGTATCAATGCATTAGGAAAAATTCCAATTTCAATTTATCCACACAATTCTCAATTGTGATCAAACCACACAATTATCAATTGTGATCAAAGTTTCCAATTTCAATTCATCCAAACAATTCTCAATTGTGATCAAACCACACAATTCTCAAATGCGATCAAAGTTTCCATACTTCCTCACTAAGTGATTTCATAATAAATCTCTTGAGAAGTAATTAACATCATCATATTACATGCATTTCCTCACATGCTAATCAACAATGCAATTTAGTTATTTCAAGTCAAATTAACAACATGCTATATAACGAACTTCATTTAACCATTTCTCAAAATCATACCCAAGATTTATATCCATATGATATAGGATACCTTTTTTTATGTTCACAATTGTTATTCATTTTCAATGACAACATTCCTTTATCTCATAGATATCTCCATTTAACACAAAAACATATGAAAGTCCATCATTTCAACAATTTCGTCATTTTAAAATCTCCAACCTTTCAAGATAAGTATAAAAATATTCATTTTACTATTATCTTAACAACAATTCTTTGCTTACAAAAGATTTCAACAATATGGATAAATATAGCAATTTCTTCTTCATTTCTCAAAATGATTTTCAACACTTCATGATTTCACAAAATCCCAAATTTTCCCCAAATTTTCAAAAAGAGTTTCTCTTTTGAAAGCTTTAACACTTCTAGAAATCTCAACTATCCCACAACTCATAATTATTTTATATAGAGTTTCTAGTTTAGACGTTATCCATTTTGTATTTTGGACTTGGGATTCATAACCATGTATGGTTGTTCATGTCTTTTTCCCTTATTCTTCCTTAAACTTGATTGTTGGAATGTAGTTATTGAGTTTGGAACAGGTTGGTTGCTTGATGTTCAAACCTTTGTTGCCCAAATTTTTTCTCCTCCACTCGAGTGACACTTTGTGCGCTCGAGCAAGCTTTACAAACTTTCAGTACTTTTGCAGGTCTGCAAAACTACTGGGAGAGTGTATTCTACGGTCGAGTGGGTATGCGCTCAAGCGGCCATTTCTTGTGCTCGAGTGGAACAACTTGTTGTGTCTGACACTCGAGTGTCAACTCTTGCGCTCGAGCGGACTGTGCGTATATCAGTTTGCGACAACACCTTTTTACATCACTTTTTCACATCTTTTTCCACCAAAGCCTTAGATCGGGACTCTATCTCTCTCTCTCTAAGACTCACATTCTCTCTACATTTTTACCTAGATCTAGTGATCTCTACACCCGTGTGCCTTTGTTAAAAAGGTAGAGCACCTCAAGGGCATCGTTTTGATCCGAATACACTTTGGTTTCGGCATCTTTGGAGTTCCTCCTTTGCTTTGCTTGGCTTTTCTCTTTGAGTTGGGAACTCTCTACACTCTCTATGAGTTTTAACTTGGTCATTTTCTTGATGTGTGAGAAATATTGGGTTGTGAAGTAATTTTAACAAATCTAGGGTTTGGGGTTTCAATTCTAAAGAGGCGTTTTATAATGGATATCTTAGAAATGGTTATGGGAATGAATGTGACCTTGGGTTATACTATAAATGGTCAATTTTTGGTGGTTGGGATGAGATTGGGAAAAAGATGAGTTTTGCCCTAAAATGTTCAAGTAATTATAGCATAAATAATGAAATTAGAAATAGGAATATGAAATTAGATAAATGGTTATATAAATGGTGAAGTTGGATGTGTATCACCTTCTACCTATGGAAATTTGAATAATTTATCTGTTGAGAAGATTGTATATTTCCTTAAAAATATCTGTTTTGGACTATCGGTGGAGGATAGCTATGATTGTTGTAAAAATTGCATTAGGATTAGGTAAATTGAAACCAATCTCTTATTGATTGTCATTGAATATGACTGTGTTTAATACATTGTATATGTATAATGTTTGGGAGGAGAAATAGGATGTACTTCATATTTGGAAGGAGAAAGGGGATGGACTCCATTGAATTAAGTTAGCCTGTGCGTCCAGGGTGAAAGTCCCGAAAACATTGTGTATACTTGGGTGTCGATTCCTACGGACGAAATTTTTGTAAAATAGCAAATTAAAGTGTTTATGTATAATGGTTGTGTGGTAAGAAAACCATTGAGTTGTAATCTCAGTTGGGTTGTCTACATAACAATGGATATGACTCATGAATTGAGGAGATATGAAATGACATTAAACGAATTGATATAAAATGGATTCAGATATCCCACTTGGCATAACATAGATTCGGAAAGAAGAGTTGTAAATGATTTTATTTTGAGCATTGGCCATGTGCATCATGTTTATAACCTTGTTAAAGTTCATATGTTGTGCTAGATTGTTTCTCTTGAGCTTTAGCTTACCCTATTTGGGAAAAATCATTTTCAGGTGCTGGTGATATGCCTCCGCTAAGGCAGTAGCCTGGAGAGATTGGGAGCAAGAGCTTCTATTATGTTATATCTATTTTGTATTGCCAAGGGCTTTAAATTGTGTTAAGCTAGGCTCACTTTTATTGTAACTAAGAACTCCTGTAGGGCATTTATTTCGTTGATCACTTAGTTTGGTGCTACATGCTATAGATTCAGGGTAGAGTTTATGAATATGTAATGCATGTGCCCTTTTGTAACTGGACTCTGATTAATGAAAGTCTAATACTCTGTTTATGTCTTTTTATATTAGTCTTTACAGTTGAATTATTGTATTATTTTTGAGGCGTAACAACTTGGTAACAGAGCATACCGGGTTTAAATACTTTGGGTACGTAGGAAGTGGTTAGTACTACAATGGGTTTATCTCATTTGACAGAGATGTTTATATGTTTACAATGCTATGTGCTAACATGTTTATGTGATTATATGGGTATGAGATTTAAATTTCTAGGATATTGATTGAATCTACGGGTTTCTAGAAGCCCTATTAGAAGAGCACTTGATCACTGCTGCTTTTAACCGGAACTCTAGCAATGTCGCGGGACGGTCATTATCCAGAAATAAAATTCATATGTGTCTATATGACTATGTGCTTATATGGAGTGAATTACTGTTGTCTAGTTCATTAGTATGTGAGTGAATTAGCTTCGGCACATTTGTAAATATAGTAATCTCTTTTGTTACCTTCATTAGGATGTTAGAATGTGGACGTGGTAGGCCTAGGAGGCATGATGTGCCTTTACCGGATGAAATTTCGGCAGAGGAAGAATGGGTTGGTCAAGCCAATGTGGCCGAACTAGTTAGTCAATAGTCCATGGGCGCCTTAGCCCGCGAAATGGCTAGTGCATTACGAGAGTCTATGGACATTCTCAGAGCCGAGAATCAAGTCCAGGCCCAAGTAACTGAGACAGGGTCGTCTTTCTTGATGCGGGAGTTTTTCCGATCGAATCCAGATGAGTTTGTAAGTGATCCTAAGGAGCCACTGAAGGCAGATGAGTGGCTAGAACAGATAGTGAAAATGTTCGAGATGCTTGGCATTGAGGACGAACAGTTGCGAGTGACCTTAGCATCCTTCCAGCTGATGGGAGATGCAGGTCATCGGTGGAAGTATACGTGTGGGTGTATTGGGGTGACTGGGGAGGCTTTTGTCAGCTCTTTCTACGACAAGTTTCAACCGCTCACGGTCAGGGAGAAGTTGAGAGGCCAATTTTCCAAGCTGGTATAGTTGAACACACCAGCGGCCGAGTTTGAGGCCACGTTCACTAGCCTCTCCAGGTTTGCACCAGAGTTAATGGCGACTGAGGAGTGCTGTTGTCTGGAGTTTGAGAAGAAATTGAGGACCAGGCTCATATTTAAAGTGGTTGAGTCAATAATTAGGGACTATGGACACCTTGTGGTGGCGGCGGCTCATCTAAAGACCGTAATGCAGATAGTGGAGGAGAGGATGCAGGGCTCCAGGAGAAGTCAGGATGTGTAGGGGGATAGTAAGAGACAGAGGGGTTCTAACCCACAGCCATCCCAAGGAGCTCAGTCAAGGTCTACTTTTCCAGTGTCGAATTCGGGTTCTAAGAGAGGTGGTCAGGGAGACATTACTTGTTTCAAATGTGGTCAGTTGGGCCATAAGTCTCCAGCTTGCCCGCAAAGAGGAGAAGAGCAATGGTCTACACCGTCTTCGGCTCATTCTCAGAGCCAGAGTCAGGGGAGAGGGCAGCCACTCACTTGTTCTTAGTGTGGGTAGGCAGGGCACATGAAGAGATTTTTCCCCCAGTTAAGTGGCACACCCGGTGCATCTGGTTCAAGACAGACACAGAGCCACCAGTCGGAACAGTCAGCTCAAGCCTCGAGGGCCAATCAGGGAGCCTCTTCGGCTCAGTTAGTACATTGAGCTTATGCTCTGAGGGGTGAACAGGTTGAGCAAAGGCCTACAGAGTGTGTGTATGCTGTTACCGCACCGGATCTAGTACCAGCACCTTCAGTAGTGAGAAATACCTTCTTGTTTTGTAATTCTATTGATAATGTGTTGATTGATACGGGTGCATCCCATTTATTTATTTCGTCTGCATTTGCATCGATTTTGGGGTTAGAGTTAGCTCAGTTAGCATCTCCTATCAGTGTAGAGTCACCTATTGGTGGTGAGGTAATTTTGAAGCAGGGGTGTCAGGATTGTGACATAGAGGTTGCCGGTTGCCGACTCTCTTTTGCATTTGTGTTGATTGATATGACTAGTTTTGATGTTATATTGGGTATGGACTAGTTGTCAACCTATTGGGTTGTTATAGACTACTACCGTCAAAGGGTTACTGTATGTACCTTGAGCGGTGATTGCTTTCATTTCTTGGGGGATCAGGTGGATAGAGTCTTATCACCGATGTATGATCCGTATAGGAGGAACGAGCTTACTTTCCTTCTTGCCAACTTCTTGAGTACCGAGTGTGATGAAGTCTGAGCAGAGTTGCCAACGGTAGTTTGTGAATGCCTGAATGTTTTTCCGGAGGATCTTACTAGTTTACCACCCCACTGAGAGATCGATTTCTCTATTGACCTAGTGCCTGGTACGACATCGATTTCTATGGCACCATATAGATTTGCACCTACCGAGTTGAGTGAAATGAAGATTCAACTCCAGGAATTGTTAGATAAAGGTTTCATTCGCCCTAGTACTTCGCTGTGACGAACATCAGCTCTTTTTGCCAAAAAGAAAGATGGTGCTTTGTGACTTTGTATAGATTACCAGAAGTTGAACTAGGTAACTATCAAGAACAAGTACCCAATGCCTCGTATAGATGATTTGTTTGATCAGTTGAAGGGGTCTTGTTGCTTTTCTAAGATAGACCTGAGATTA